GTGCTGCCATGTAAACAAAGGAAACAAAAGGGGCCCTTAGTTGGCTGTGCCCTGATTTTCTGGGACTAATTTATACTATCATCAGTATCAGGTCATCCTTATTTTCCACTATGCACTTGTGTTCCCCATGCACATTATGCTTTATATGTGGTTAACTCAGCAAGTGTTGATCTGTTTGTTGCATCCAGTGCCCAGCTCCTGTTGTTGACTGTGTGCTGATGCACATGGGATGCTGTTTGCAGGTGACCCATGTCATGATACCTGGCTCACTCTCCGTGCCAAGACAATCTCCCAGCTTCCAAAGGGAGATGTAAGCATACATTGGTGTGAAGCAATGTGGGTTGGCTGTTCAGATTATTTAATGTTGCCAGTTTGCAATGAACACTGGATCTTGATTTATCAGTTTCTTATTTTTTAAATCACTCTTACATCCATGTACTCAGGTGACATAGAAAGGACAACATATTTCCAGCTGTCTTATTTTGGCAAGATCATGTTAGTTTCCCTCTTTGTTATAAGCCGGGTATGTGACATTGCAAGCAGCGTAAGTGGTGCCGGGACCATGGTTAATGGTTATCATGGTGCTACAAGCATTGCATTGATAATGTTTTGTTGCATTGTTGATTTGGTTTTGGCACTGTTACTGCTTTCCATCATTTAAATGTCTACTAATCTTTGTCTTGCTTTTCCAGCACCTGCTTCATCGCCGATTGTCACCAAAGACCGACATAATATCTCAATGTTCCATTGCAATAATTCAGGGCAGTTAGTCAGTGTAAGTATGGTGTTTCTATCTTTCAATCTGCGTGACTGGTTTTCCACATTTGATGTGTGCTTTTGCTGCTCTGGGATATGTTCTGCAAGGCAATGAGCTAGACTGTCATCACTTGATACATTGTCAATGACACAGTGTTTTGGGATATGCAGGTGTGTACTGTCATGCAATGGAAAAAGTCACTCCAATGTCAGGGTCTATTTGCGACCCCAGAGCGCCTTCACTCGGGCGACTTATGGTGGTGCCGCTCTGCGGGCCCAGCGGCGAGACCGGCGCCGGCGGCCGTGACCACCGTCCGTCCTCCGCCCGCAGATCGTCGAGTGTCGGCCGAGTTTGATCCATTCCAGGGCTATGGACGGTCCGTCGAGGACCGTCGACAAACAAGTGCCTGATATTAGGGTGAGTGTGGCGCCGCCGATCGCATGGCCGATCAGCTGCCGCCTCGTGCACCGGCTTCTGCGGTGTAGCTGTGGGCGGGGCGAGTCCACGGCATGGTGGACGGCTCGCGTGGCGGTCTCTGTGACGGTGACGGTGACGGGGTGGTGGTCGGCTCGCCTGGCGGTCTCTGTGACGGTGACGGTGACAGGGTGGTGGTCGGCTCGCATGGCGGTTTCTCTGGCGGTGGCGGGGTGGTGGTCGGCTCGCCTGGCGGTCTCTGTGACGGTGGCGGGGTGGTGGACGGCTCGCCTGGCGGTTTTTGTGACGGTGACGGGGTGGCGGGCGGCAACGGGCGGTACGCAGCGGGCGGTGCGAACCGTGTTGAAGCACGGCTTGTTGGCAATGGCGCTGTGTCTGTCAGTCGTGACTGGGTTGCGAGGCGGCGGCCGGCACGCGCCGGGCGCGGCGCCGTCAGCCGGCCTGACGCGGCCCGACGGCGTTATCGCAGATCGGACGGCTGTTTTGTAGTCGGCCGCCGCTGAAGTGACACTTGCGGCCGTCGGACGGGCACGCCGCGCGCGTCGCGACAGTGACGGGGTGCTCGGCGGTGGGCGGCGCCCGGCCGGGCCCGGCGGCGCCGCCAGGTGTGACGGCTCGGCTGAGTCGTGCGGGAGGGGGGCGGGACGGCAGCCGGCGCCGCCCGCCCCTCGCCGGGGCGCCGGTCACGGCTGGGGCAGTGTCGGCGGGCCGACCGGCTGGTTGGCTGGCTCACGTGCGGCGCCGGCCGAGCCTGGCGGCCCGGGAAGCCCGACACCGTCGGCTAACGGCGGCCACTCAGCCCGCCGCCCCGATGGGGCTGGGCCAGGCCACAGAGCCGGCACGCCGCGCCGGGCATGGAGCGGCGGCCGTCCATGCTGAGGCGCTGGCAACGGAGCAGACAGGACGGAACGGACACTCACGGGGCCCCAGCATGAAGCCTGCTGTGGGATGAGACCACTGAGCCCCTACGGGAAGAGGCCTACACCTCCTGGCTTGGGCGTCGCCGGGGAGATGCCCCCGTCCCCGAGGAAGGTCCGCACGACGAGGGATCCGCGTCCCTCGGAAAGACCGGCGTCCCCGGGGGAGACCCGCATTCCCTGCAGAGGCCCGTGTTCCCTGCAGAGGCCCGCGTCACTGGCAGAGGCCCGCGTCCCCGGCAGAGGCTCGCGGAGGCCAGAGTGCTCACCCGGCGACGGTCATCGCCGACCGGCCGCCGGCGGACGTTGAATCACTGTCTATTTTTGTCAGCGCCGGCTGTCTGTGATGACCCCGGGTGGCGCCGCGCCACGGCTCCTCCCCCACCCCTCCCACACCCCTCCCTGGTGTCGAGCGCCCTCCCCTCTGCCGTCCGGGCAGAGGGACGAAGGAGGGGGGGGGGGGGGGGGCTCTGGGTGCCTGGGAAGGGTAGCTGGCGCGCCGTACTTGCGAAAGAACTCTACCGACGGCGGGGGCAGGGTAGGTGGGCCCCGGTGTATGCTGGCGAAGCCCGCCTGCTCAGGTGATAGTAGCCTCAGATGTATTCGAAGAGGGCAGGCCACCCCGTAGCAGTAGCATGATCTCTTGTGGGCTTGGGGAATGCTCTGCAGCACTGAAAACAGGGGAAGGGGACGACACTCAGTCAGCGGTGTGGACCCGCGTTATCACGAATCGCTCGGCCAGTATTCGTCTGCGTGGGTTCTAACAGCAACGCGCCGTGCATAGGCCGTCCCCGATAAGGCCACCGCCGGGGCGGGGGCTGTCGCGCCGGCCGCGCCGCTCCGGACGGTCGCTCCCCTTCACACAGTGGGAGCGACGCGCGCGCGCGCCGTCAGACAGTGGTCGACTGGCTCTGACAGTTGCACGGTGTCGGCTGGTGCGGCCTCGGTCGCGCCCGTCACGTTCAGACGCGTGCACTGCCGCTGAAGGCTGCCGCTGGGAGGGGCATTGTCAGACCGGGCGCCTGCCGCTAGAGGAATGCGGTCCGACACACCCCTGACTGACGCGCCGGGCCGGCGGGATAGAGCGGGGTGCTGCTGACACACCCCTGACTGACGCGCCGGGCCGGCGGGATAGAGCGGGGTGCTGCTGACACACCCCTGACCGACGCACCGAGATGACTGGATGGCGCAGGGTGCTACTGACTCGGTCCCGACGCACCCCTGACTGACGTACCGGGCCGGCGGGATGGCGCAGGGTACTCCTGACCCGGCCGCTATGTAAATGTCTTAATCCACTGGACAGGTCGTTGGCAATATGCGGCGTTGTTTGCCGTTTTATGTTGTCACTGTCAAGCTCTGGCTGCGCGCTCCTCCGTCATCGACGGACCTTTCCTTGTCCGCATTGCTTCAGTGCCCTTAATCCATAAATACCCGTCTATTTCTATTTCTCCCACCTGGGTTCTCACCGCTGCATTGCATCAGCCTTACATGCTAGGGTGGTGCGGTACAGAGCACCTTCATGCAGGTAAAACATGGCGCCGCATTGTTCAGACCGCCGAAGGGTAATCCCCCTCCCCTAGTCTGCTTCGCGAGACCCGGGTGACGATGTAATGTTGGCGCGCACGGGACAGTAGGGACCTGTCATGACTGGACGGGCCCCAGCCTGCTTTGGAAAGACACGCGCCGCTTCCGCCGTCCCCCCCCCCCCCCCCCCAGAATCGCTGCAGTGGTGCGACAGACTCGGCCGGCGCCAGCGACCGTGTACGACTCTCGTTTTTGGCTGTGTGACTTGGTGACGGACGCGTAGCCTCAGTTAAATTTGAACGGGACAAGTATCGCCGGGACGGCTCCGGCTGGCGGCCTGTATCGCCGTGACGGCTCCGGCTGGCGGCCTGTATCGCCGGGACGGCTCCGGCTGGCGGCCTGTATCGCCGTGACGGCTCCGGCTGGCGGCCTGTATCGCCGTGACGGCTCCGGCTGGCGGCCTGTATCGCCGTGACGGCTCCGGCTGGCGGCCTGTATCGCCGTGACGGCTCCGGCTGGCGGCCTGTATCGCCGTGACGGCTCCGGCTGGCGGCCTGTATCGCCGTGACGGCTCCGGCTGGCGGCCTGTATCGCCGTGACGGCTCCGGCTGGCGGCCTGTACGCCTGACGGCTCCGGCTGGCTTCCTGTATCGCCGTGACGGCTCCGGGGCTGCGGCCTGTATTCGCCGTGACTGGCTCGGCTGGCGGCCTGTATCGCCGGACGGCTCCGGCTGGCGGCCTGTATCGCCGTGACGGCTCCGGCTGGCGGCCTGTATCGCCGGGACGGCTCGGATGGCGGCCTGTATCGCCGTGGACGGCTCCGGCTGGCGGCCTGTATCGCCGTGACGGCTCCGGCTGGCGGCCTGTATCGCCGGGACGGCTCCGGCTGGCGGCCTGTCCCAGTTCATGTGACCTTTTGCGACAAATCCGACCTTCCCCGGCTGCCAGTGGGCTTCCGACCGGGTCTGGTCCCTGGGTGATGTGCCTCTGTCCTATGACAACTGCTTGGTGAAGGGCTGTGTGCCGGAGCGACTCACTCGCCGCCGCTGAGCACGTGTCTCGCCGGACCTCGGCCTCGCGCGGCCTCCACACCGGCCGCGTGGGGGCCCGTCCGGCCAGACTGTGGGCCGCAGCGCCGGCGTGAGCCAGCCTCACCACGCGCGCGGCGGCCGGCGCGGCGCCCAGTCCGGCCTGCTGGGCCGACTGGGCCCTTGCGGTCCGCCGCTGTATGCGCCCGGCGCGGGGCTGACGCGACGCTCCGCTGCTGCAGGACGGCGCCGCCTCGCCGGCCCCCCAGCGAGCAGCCCCGGACGACGGCGGCGGCGGAGGCGGCCTCTGCCGGACGCCAGGTGAGTGCCGCCCGCTGCCATCTGGCGCACGCTTGTGTGGACAGCCGACGCCCCGTCCACACCAATCATTGTCAATGGTAGAAATCGGGAGGATAAGCCCGTGGCCTGAAGCGCAAGTGCCCTTCTGAGGGCGAAACAAAACAACAACAAAACAAAGCAGTAACAGAAAACAGTAGACACTCCCAATCATGAGTTACTTTTCAGCTCAATCATATGCTCCTCACTTTTTATGATGTCGAACCCAGGTTGTTTTCACTGTCGTATTTTTGGGAAAGAGAGCACAAGGCTGCAGTGTAGGGACATGACCGGTGTGGTCCCGGTGGTGCATGACCCAGTGACGTCAGCAACCATTTCATGGTCGTAACGGTTTGACCCCTCACTCACTCTTTTGCCCTTCCCTGAACCCTTCAATCATTCGTTTGCTTCCAAATTCTCCGTTCACCCCCGCCCCCAGACAAGCTCCCCTATTGTTAACGTCTGGCAGCTCGGCCGCCAGAGGTGGCCATGCACAGCAGGGTGTAGATGGGTAGCGTTCGACCCCGGGAGACAAGCGACGAGCTGCTCTGAAGTGGAGGTGCGGCACGTATTATGGGAGAGTGCCGCTGAGCTAGAGTAGGCCGACCACGGCCATCCCCTGCGTACTCTTCGTCCAGAAAGGACGCGACGCGGCGCGTGTCGGCGTGCATTGGCCGTCGTCGGGTACGGGGGAGTCTGGGTCAAAACATCATGTCGGCGTGCTCGAAGACCGACCGTATGGCAGACACGTTCACGCGCAAGGTGTCTGATCTTGGCGCTCCCAATCAGTGTCTAACTGTATTAAGATGTAAGGACCAGGTTGAACATATGGTACTGCAATTATTTGTTTTGACATCAATTTGGGCGAAGGTGGGGCATCACGTCGCACACACCAAACACATGTATTTTGTTCCGTACAAGCAGGTAGCGTGTTGAGGTAATTAAGAGAACTCGCTGACTCAACTGCGATAGATAGTACGCGACGGCCGGGAGCTGCCATTGCAATAGTCATTGCGCTTTCAGCAAGGAATTTGCTCTGCTAGTTTTCCTGCGCATATTCCCGGACAGCGCAGTTGGACACCAAGTAACTTTTACATAGGCCGGGGCCCAAGCCCAGCAGACTTGAGACCATCCCCGGGCCGACGGGCCTGAGTGTGACCGGCGGCGGTCGGACCGGGCCGGCATCGATCGCGTGCCGGTGCGGCGGGCCGGCGCACCGGCGCCCGGCCTGGCCCGCGGCCAGTCTGGGGCGCGCGCCGCGCCGCCGCGTACGGCGTCCGACACGGCGGCGCGCGACGACAGCCGTACCGCCTCTGACACCGCGCCGGCGGCGGCGGCGGCGCTGCGATGTCACGCTAGTGGGCGGCGCCGTGCGTTGTGAAACGCCGTTTGGCCGTCAAAGTTCGCTGTTGTGTCGTCAGGAGACCCCTTCACCCGAACGAGTGACCTTTGTTCTGCGATGGTAGATGTTAGATGCTCGGTAAACCCGAGTCAACGCCCCGGGTCTTGTTTGTTTGATGTTGGTCCGGGGCGCAGCGGCCCGTTGTCCTCTCATTTATAGCTCGGTCAAGATGTCTCTCGCCCGCTGCAGACGATCTGTCTATGTGATGCGCGAAACGCGGCACCCTGAAAAGCTCACCCACGCTGTAAAATGTTGGCGTGAAGTTCGTCTTACTGTTGGGCAAGGAGTTTGTTTCTCGTCTGTCCTGTTTTATGCACTTATGTACTTTACCTCTCTGATTGAGTAAGTTGTCATCGGTCTGGCCCGCGTTCGTGTCGCCCGCCGGTTGTCGCCGTGGAGCGACGTCCGTTCGCTCCGGCTGCGGCGGCGCTCCGCTGGCTGTGCTGAGCGAGCCGCCGGCGCAGGGCGCTGACGGCCTGTCTCGCCTGACCCCCCCCCCCCCCCCCCTCCGCCACCGACAGAGGCCGCCGAGACGGCAGACGCCCGGCAGGGGTGCCGAGCTAGCCCCTGCCCCGGCGCTGCACTCTCCTCTCCTCCTTCTGTGATAAGCTCCGACAGCGCGCCGGCCGCCCCGGCCGCCCCTCCGTCCAGCTCCGGCCGCTCAGAGGTCAGTGGCGGGGAACCCCGCGACGCGCCGCCGCCGCGGGAGAGGGGAGGGGGCGCCCGCCGCGGCGTGGTCAGACGCCGCGGTTTGAAGCGGCGGCTTGCGGTGGGAAGTGCGGCGACTGCTGCACGCGCCGTTTACAGCTGAGCCGGAGGCCTGAGCTATTTACACCGTTACCGTGCAGTGTCTGGTTCGCGGTCTGTGGAATTCGCAGGCTGTAGTGTCGCGTGTGCTAGGCAGCTGCGATCCACCGTTTGTGACCCAAAGAGCGTCATCGGTGGCCTCGGCCATGCGAGTCCTGTATCGTGTGGCGTCTGGTGTGATGTGACCTTGCGGTGACCTGTGGACTGCACCGTGCTGCCGTCTGACCTTGCTGTGGTTTGCGGTCGGGCAGCCGGAGCTTGCTGCCGCGGAGGTGATGCTGGCGCGCGTGCCGCCGGTGGCGCCGGCTTCGGGCGCCGGTTGGGAACGGCCGGCCTGGGCGCGGCTGGCCGGCGGCGGCGAGAGCACTGGCAGCACGGGCACGGCCGGCTGGGGCGCGCCGCCACCGGCAGCCGCTGCCGGCACCGCCAACTGGGGCCAGCCGCCAGCCGGCCCGGCCGCCCAGTGGGGCGGCGGTGGCGGCCGGCCGGCCGGCAGCCAGCCGGCGCCGGCCTCTGCCCAGCCGCCGCCCGGGCCGCCGGCCGCCGGCAAGAGCGGCCCCAACGGCCAGCCGCCGGTGCCGCCCCAGCCTGCTGGCGGCCAGGAACAGCAGCCGGCCGCCCAGCAGCAGCAGCAGCAACAACAACAACAGCCGCAGCCTCAGCCACAGCCGCAGCCGCAGCAGCCGACTCAGCAGCAGCAGCAGCAGCAGCAGCAGCAGCAGCAACAGCAGCAACAACAGCAACAACAGCAGCCACAGCAGCAGCAGCAACAGCAACAGCAACAGCAACAACAACAGCAGACAACGACAGGACAGAGAGCCGATCAGAACCCGAACAATGGTGCGTACCTGTCACTACCTGGCCTTGGTTGATGAAGGAATATTTTTCTTTAGAAATTCATGGGTATTGTGCGTCCTACCAGGGTACACATATGCATGGTGTCGTCAGTGGCGTAGTTTGAATGTCGGCTGGGAACATGTGAACGAGTGGGTGCGTTCAATCTCCGTGATGACACGTTCCGCCACCGCGCCGCTCGGTGGTGTGCCGCGTGCCAGTGTCCGCGTGGTGTTGTCGAGCCGGCCGCTGACAGCCGTCCGCCGCCAGGCGCCGCTGGAGGGGCAGGCGGGGCGGCGGCGCCGGCGCCGCCGCCGTCGGCCGATTCGGCCGACCTGGAGCGACTCAAGGCGATGCGCGCGGCCATCACGGCCACCGAGGGCTGGTCCAGCAGCCAGGTGAACCAGGACACCAACTGGGACATCCCTACCAGCCCCGAGCCCTCTGACAAGGAGCCGCCCGCCACCGTCGTCGCCTGGAAGCTGCCCGGCGTCAACAACGGTCAGTTGACGACCGGCCGGCGCCGCCGGCACGGAACCCCCGCGCCACCCGCGCCGCCGGCGCCCACCGCAGCGGTGCCGCTTCCGTCGCCTGCTATTGCAGTCGCAGAATGCTCTGCGGCCGCGGAGTTGTTCCTGTGCAAACGCGAGGGCAGCCTGGTCGTCCTTTTCACAAAGTGTGACGCGTGTTCACGCAACCTTCTAATAACGGAAATGTCAACCATGTTCGTCACATTTCCCACGTGCTCGTCAAATTTGTGCGTGTTTACTGAATGCGTTACGAAGTTGGCTGCCGCCATGAACCGTGCAGCACACCTGCGGCCACGCCGCGCAGCATGCCGGGTGGTGTGGAGCGGCTGCGGCGCGTCACGGCGTGTCGCCCGACCTCGCCGAGTGTCCTGTGCCTCACCGGCGGCCTGCGGTGCTGACCGGCCGTCGGGCCCGCTCGCCGCAGGACTGGACGTGTGGCAGGCCAACCTGCGTAACGGAGGCGTGCCGGCGGCCAAGGCTATGGACGCCCAGTGGAGCCACCACATCCCGCAGTCGAACCTGGGCGGTACTTGGGGCGAGGACGACGACTCGGCCCAGGTGAGGGCGCGCTCCCGCCGCGCCGACTGGCTGATGGCGCTCAGCCGCCGCTCCGCCGCCGCTCCGCTGGCTGCTGCTCAGCCCAGCTCTGCTGGCCGGCAGGCGGCTTTTGACTTGGATTATTTCGGAGGGCGTGTGCGTGTCTGCGGGGGTGGAAACGTTTTTAAAGTTGCTGGTTCCCGGCGAAATGAGCGCCAGAGGCGATGCCCTGACGCCGCTCCTTCTTCCGTCTCGGCAGGCCAACAGTATGTGGACGGGCGCGCCGTCCGGGCCGCCGGGCCCGCCCGGTCCTCCGGGCAATCACTGGGGTGGCGGCGGCGGCCCGGCCGGCCCCGGCGGCATGTGGCCCGGCGGACCCGGCAAGAAGGACGACTGGGGCGGCCACAAGCCGTGGGAGGCGCGCGGACCCAACGGAGACGGCTGGGGTGAGCGGCGTCGGAGGCCGGACGCCCGCGCACGGGTGCCCGGCCACTCCCATCTACCGCGTCCCGTCTTGGTGTCATCGGGAATGCTCGTCACCGACAGATAGCCAAACTTTGCTGCGCGTTATGCTGCTCGTGGCGCTTTAAGGCTGTCGGTGGTCTCGGAATCACGAGGTTCGTTCAGTCCCACTGCGACATTGCTGCCTCTGTGAGAGCATATTGCGGCAGTTGTGTGGTTGTCGCCTGCGCTCGCTGCGACTGTCTCTGTTTAGGCGTGGGCCGGCTGTAGAGGCCGACGTCTGACGCCCGCCGTCGCCGCCGCAGGCAACAAGCCGCCGGGACCGTGGACGGGCGGACCGCCGCAGCACGGACCGGGCACCTGGGGAGGCGACCACTCGCCGCCCATGCCTCGCCGGCCCATAGGGTTCGACGACTGGGGTGAGCGCTCCCGACCAGGTCAGCACCCGAACCGGCGCCGCCGCTCGCGAGCGCGTGCGCGCAGGCTCGCTGATGGCAGCGCACCGCCGCCGCCGCCGCCGCCGCCGCCGCCGTCGTCGTTCGACTAACGCAGCGGTGGCGGCCAGTCCGTGCCGGCTGGCCGGCTCTGCCTGTGCGCTGCTGCTGCTGCTGCTACTGGAGCTGCCGACGGCCGGTCGGCTGCTCCGCTCCGCTGGCGCTGGCCGCGCTGGCTCAGCTGCATGACTCGGGGCGACGCTGACGATGGCGGGCCGCCATCGCCTGCTCAGGCCCCGACGGCGACGGGTGTGGGATGCACTAACCCGGCCGCGGTCGACCACTGCCGCCGCCACTAACGGCTACGGTCACTCATGGTGTGCCGGGCCTGCAGCTTCGGCCGCCCGCTCGGAACGTGGGGCCGGTCGCTTCTTGTAGCTAACGGGGTCACAGCCACGCAGACCACACGCCGATCTCCCCCTCAACCGGGGCGACAGCCTGCCCGTCAGGCGTTCCCGCGACCTGTGACGCGGGACTGCGGTTTGTGCCGCCCGACCCGCCGTCGCTCACAGCGCACATGGGGCGCGCCGGCCGCTGACAGGCGTCGGGCGGCCGGGGCACCAGACCAGGCCAGGCAGGGTCCCGCACGGCCGCTGACAGGTGTCGGGCGGCCGGGGCATCAGATCAGGTCAGGCAGGGTCCCGTACGGCCGCTGACAGGCGTCGGGCGGCCGGGGCACCAGACCAGACCGGGCAGGGTCCCGTGAGAACGACTCTCAGACCAGACGTGGGCGAGCGGCGGGCTCGCTCGCTCGCGACAGACGTGGACGCAGACTGGCCTAGATGCCCGCGCGCCGGCCCGTGAACGCCCGACCGACGCCGCGGCGTCACGCGGACCGTCGACGGCAAATGGGGGCGCGCTACATCCCGCTGGGCTCGCTAGCCGGCACGGCAGTGGTCTTTCGCATGCTAGGATTGGGGGAGTCGGCGGCTTGCTTTGGGAAAGCCGCTGAGCTGAGGGAAAGGTGTCATGATCGATACGTGGTGATGGAACCGTTACAATTCCTAGCTCTCTCTCTCGCCCCCCCCCCCCCCCCCCGCCCCAGTTCGTACGCAAATAGTGTTTGGTCTGTGTAACTGTTGAATTGGTGATCCTGATAGGTTTCCATCGGTTTCCGTCAGCAGCATTGCTGCCATCAATCCGATTTGAACTGTGACGCGATGAGTCATTGTTATTCCCGGCTTTCAGCTTCCACAGTGGGGGATTAATGGGGGATGACACAAGTCTCGCCTGCCGCCGTTTGTCTCGGATGGCAGCCGTCTCACCCCCGCCGCCATGTCACCCTGATGCGATGTCTCTGACCCGACCGATCGCCGCAGGCAACAAGCGCGGCGGAGGCGGGGGCGGCGGCGGCTGGAAGGAGCTGCCGGGCGGGCCGGGCCGCGCCGGCCTGCCGGGCGGCCCGCCGGCGCCGCACATGCTGTCGCGTATGCCGCCGGGCCCGCCGGACCACAAGGGCGTCGACCCGTGGGGCCGGCCGCCGCGCAACGGCTGGGGCGAGGCGCCACCGGGCCCCGTCTCCGGCTGGGGCGGCGACGACGGCCCGGCCGGCTGGGCTGCCAAGCCCAAGACGCCCACCATGCCCGGCGGCTGGGCAGAGCCCGACATGGACTGGGCCAAGGTAAGGCGCCGTCCGCAGACAGCAGGCCGCGGCCAGCCGGCGCGCTGGCTCGGTGTGTGTGCGTTGTCGCGCTGGGAGACGGGACAGGCGGGTTTGTGTGTCGCGTTTGGCGATAACATTTTGCGTGCTGTTGCGTGACGTTTGGTCATTGCTCTAGGAGCACATAGTGTAGGCTGGTGGCTCGGTTCCGTGTGCGGTGTGATAACATGTGGCCGTTTGCCGTGTGCGGCTGATAATCTAGCGCGGCTAGCCAGGTGGCGGTGTCCGCGCCGGCGGCAGTAGCAGGTACCTCGTCAGCCTCCTGATCACAGCATCCTTTGGAAACATGCCAGGGTCAGGGCGCAGCCCCGTGCCAAAGCGCTGCGGCACGCCGCCTAACCCGACACTGGTTTATGTGATGTTTTGCCACAGCTTTTTCTGATCCTTCTTGCAAGGCTGCAAACGCCACGAAAAGCAATATCAAGATGATTTGCATTTTGTATAGAAACTTGATAGTCTTTCAAAAGTGAAGAGTTGTACAGGCAGTCCATACTGGCGTAAGCAGCCGGCCCACACTAAAGCGCGTACAAGCAGCGAGAAATTCTTGTGCTGTGACTAGGGCACGTTGATTCAGCTGGTGGTACAAATAAGCAAAGCTTGCTCGAAATACCGCGCGTTCTGCATCCTCCGGTGCCTCGGCTGGGGTCGGGGCTGGCATTTCGTGCCGGTGCTGCGGCCCCGCCAACATACGGCGCTCCTGCCTGACACCGCCCGCCGCTGTATAGTGCTCGCGCCTGCCCGCGTGCCGCGCACGCCAGCGTGTGTGCCTGCCGACGCCCTCGTGTGTGTGCGGTGTGAGTGAGGCTGGCGTGCTGACCTGCAGGCGGGCCGCGCTCCTGGCATGCACACCGGCTCCAAGGGCGCCATGTACGACAAGTTCCGAACGCTCACCGACCAGGGCTTCAAGGTGGGTCGACTCTGCCGAGGCGGAAGGCAGCGGCCGGCTGCTGCCGCTCACAGCCGCTGGGCCCGCTGTCGGCGGTCTGGCCGGTCTGGCCTCTGCTCACCGTCTGCCTGGCCGTGCTAACGCGTGGTGACAGGGCGGTCCTGGCTCGTTTTAGGCTCAATTTGGAACCCACAACCCGCAAAAGTTATGACACCATCGGCGGCGCCTTCACATGCCGCCGTTCCGACAGGCTTCGGCGTTGCCGCTCTGCCTGCCCTGCACCCGTCGGTGGCAGGCGTTTAGCTCCCGCTGTGTTCCGCCGTCACAACTACCGTGGGGGCTGTCGGCTGT